AGCATTGCTTGTTGCCACCAGCGGCGGAAACCGTGGCAGCACTGGCGGCATGAACCCAATGCACGCCACGGGTTATGGCGCGGCTCTCAGGCAAACCAAGGTGGTGGCAACCAGGCATCCCAGCCTGCGAACAACCAAGTCGCTGGCCAGCCCCGTGTCGCCCAGGCTTGGCCCATGCCGCAACATAACTGGGACGGCACAATCCAGATATGGCCTGGTGACCCAGTGCATCATAATAACAGAGGCTATATATAATGCTACATTATCATATATTTAAAACATATCTATTTTATTTGATGATAAAACTAGCAAATCTCATAGCAAGCTTGGACAGTTTGGGAAGGTTTTTTTTCAGAGAAAAGAATAATCTACTTCAACCGATATGCCTTTAGGCACGGCCATACATAACATAGAAATCACACATGGAAAGGGTAGGCAATTAGCTAGAGCAGCAGTTGCTTTAGCGAAACTGATTGCAAAAGAAGGTAAATCGGCCACTTGAATACCACCTAGGAAGATCCGTTTGGTATCCTGAAACTGCTTGGCAATAGTTATACAAGTTGGTAATGTGTTCGGGTGAAAAAAAAAATTTAGGTAGAGCCGGATCAAAGTGTTGACTAGGTAAACACCCCGTAATAAGAGGGATAGCTATGAAATGTGTGGACCACCCGTATAGGCGCGGTGAAGGGAAAGCCAAGGCGAAGGCGAAGTAGTCTTCCTGTGAGTATAGACAAACCCGTCAAAAATATATTTTTATGTAAGTGGCTCACGGGAGCAACGAAAAATATATATATTAGCCTAGTCCAGTAATATATAGCGTGGTCGTCAGAACAATTGTTTTGAAATGATGATGTTTATTGCAAAACAAGCGCCTTCTTTCTTTATATACTTCACGGTGGACTGGATTTGGACCACTAGATTACTTCTGACGCAGTGGATATTTAAACAAACGTGCTAAGCGTTAGTTCATCCACGTTCTTTAGAAATCAGATTCACGTCGTTGTCAGAACCATCATTTTTCAAATGAATATTTTGCTTATTTCAAAACAGGAACTCTTTTCTTCGGAGTGTATCGGATTCGACTAGATTAGGTTTGGCAAAGTGGATATTTAAAACATGGGGCTAAGCCACATGCACACACACCATCAACTTTTTTTTTTCCAAAGTGGGTTGTATTCGACTATTATTATACTCCCTCTGTCCCAAAATATAATCATTTTTAGCACGTGATAAGTCAAACATTTTTAGCTTTGATCATTAATAAAAAAAATCAATCATATAAAATTAATGTTACTAGATTTATCATTAAATAAACTATTATAGTATGCAACTCTTTTTATTTAAAACATCTTATTTTTATAGATATTGTTGGTCAAATTAGCATCTCGGAGACCGTGTCAGAGTCCAACAATACTTATATTTTAGGACGGATGAACTAGTTCTAGCAGAATGGATATTTGAATCAATGGGCTAAGTGTAGTAGTTTTTCTTTTCATTACAAGCCTGACACACATACCACTAGTACAGATTCTTCCATCTGTGACGGCCCCTAACATGACTGGAATTAGTGGGCCATCACAAGGAAGTAATCTCAATCGAGCCGAAAAAACGCCTGATTGAGATATGGTCGCACATACATGCTAGATCGGCATAAAACTAGAGCCCGTCACGGATGACACTTACCTGTGACAGGCCATAGTTTAGGCCTGATTGAGATGATAGTTCAATATCTCAATCGGGCCCTAAAAGCGCAGCAGTTGCGCATCAATCGAGTTCGCAGAAAATCCAACATCGGTCGACAGCGCCGTCGACCACATAACGGTAAAAGTTTCGTGCACAATGCATGAAAGGCTTAACGAATCCATATGTTATATAATATTCTAAAAAAATTGATAAATCTAACAAAGGAACCAACGAGCTGCACCCTCACAGTTAGGGTGATGCCTACCTTCACAGTTCCAGCAGCCGAGGGACTTGCGTACAAGCCGACCCCAGAGACAAGAGTGCATGGAGCGCAACTTAGGGCCGATTGTGCAAAAGTTCAACTTGACTTGGTGAAGCCTGAATATGAGCTGTTCCCACTGAAGTATCCACCGAACGACGAGGTCCTATCACTAGGAAATGCCAGTGGTACCTTCATCCAATGGCCCAAGGACCTCATTGAGATAAGGGATAGAGCGAGGCCAACCACTGCACCAAGCGGTCGTCCGCCAAAGAGACCCGACTCTGCTCCTTTAGCCCCTCCAGCTCAAGATCGTCATGCACAATCTTACAATGTGCAGTCGCAGTATGACATGGATTTTGGGGAGGACCGTACGGAGGCCGACAGCAAGGCGATTCATGAACCCCCACCGATGAAGAAGAGTAGGAAGGCACACTCTTCCCCTCAGAGAATTATTCTCAATAAATTAAACCCGATGCAAATGGGAGAGGAAGAGGAGGAAAGGTGAACGCCTCGCTTCTGGCTCCAAAGAAGCTAGATCTAGACAAGGGGCATGAAGAGACTCAGGGGAAGGAGGTCAAGAAGAAATACGTCGCTCCACAGGAGTTCCAACTAGGCATGCCATTGGTTGGAGATGACGTGCTATCCACAATGGGCACCGCTTGCAAGGACCTTCACGTATACTACATGGAGAAATCTAACGCTAGGAGGCAGAATAGAGCTACCGATATCCTTGGAGAGCACGATGGAAAGCCATTCCTTTGTCCAACCAATTATATCGTGGTCGACTTTAAGGATCTATTCGACCACTACAGGCTCCGAGCAGTGGACACAAGCCTCCTTAAGTGCTACTCCTTGTAAGTATTGTCGCCCATCTCAATTTGGTAATAACAATCCATTTAACTCGCTTACAAGATCGTTTATCTTGCGTGTAGGTTAAGTTGGCAGTGGTGTCAGATGAATGCACCGAAAATTGCCTTCCTTGATCCACAAGTGGCCACTGTCACAAATCTCGAGAATGATCGTCAAGGAATGGTCAACTACATCTACGACACCTTGTGGTCCCGCCGAGACAAGGAGTACATTATGTGCGCCTATAATCAATAGTAAGTGAGTTCCCTAAATATATACAACAGCATGACACATATAGCTTTAGTATTTAACTTTCACTATATTAATGCCGCAGTGCCCATTGGATCCTTCTGGTCATAACACCTAAGTGGAGTACATGCCACTACCTGAACTCCAGAATTGATAAGCAAGTATATGATTGGACCCCTATTCAACTAGCGATAGATGAAGCGTGAGGCCAATACGTGCAAAGAGGAGGCCTCAGGAAGACAGGACATGACACCCTCATCCACAAAAAAGACTTCCCGGTGAAGCAACAAATAGGTGACCAGTGCGAATTTCATGTGTGCCACAACATGCGCCTTCTATACAGAGAAAAGGTGAAGACTTTGGCTGAATTTGAGGTCGGTGGTCTTAATTGTGATATACTAACTACATCGAAGTACATATATATGTCGATCAACTAATCTCGAATTATGACAATGTAGGGCAATATTACCAAGTCTCTGCCTACCAGCTTCGAGGAGGTTCGCGAGGAGATAGCCAGCTTCATCCTCCGTGAAATAATTAACCCCAAAGGAATGTTTAGGCTTAAATTAAAATGATGAACATTATTGAACTTTTATATTTAGGCAATGATGAACGTTGATTAAGACCTTGATTATGTAACTGTGATGTTTATATTTATGTATATATTTCTTATGTTTATGTTAATACTTGCTAAATATATATTTCATCCAATTAACTCGGTTTTGCAGGTGAAATATGTTAAATATGTGAATCGATGTAAAATATGTGAATGGATGTGAAATATGAGATCAAAATGGATGTTCTGTGAATGTTGTTGTGTGAAACATATTGATGGTTGCGTATGTGAATGCATGTATATGAATGGGTGATGCTGGGGATATTGTATATGCATGTGTTTCTGTCATTTTTACAGCGGGTATGGCTAGCAAAGGCCTGAAGCTAGCCATAAAACAAAATTAATATTTTTTGTGGATTATACTCATTTGTGACGGGTCATAACTTAGTACCCGATTGAGGTTAGTAGTCATCTGTAACGGACGCTATCTGTGGCCCGATTGAGATAGATCATCCGTAACGGGCTATAGTTTGACCGGTAGTCTGGATCAATGCTATCGGTGACGGGCTTTAATTAGGGCCTGATTGAGATAGGTTCATCCGTGATGGTCGTTTGTCCGATTGAGATAACTGTTCACATGTGTGACTTCTAGCCTGTGACGGACGTCGTGCCCGATTGAGAGGGGGTTTACCGCCAGATTGAGACGATGATGGTATCCGTTCTAGTGTACACACGCGCAACATCATACTTACAAGATCATGAATACGCTCCTATCACAAGGTTTTAAAGACCGAAACCAACACACGTCCTTGGACTTAAATTCTTATAAGCCTACTTACATACGTAATATTTGTGAGAAATATAATCTAAATCCTAATGGGAAGCAGTAAGGGGCTTTCGATCCAGGACCAGAGTGCAGCTCTAGAATATACTACTGCATCAAGTGGGAGCTTGCGAGGGGAACGGGAAAATAATTACGGCAACATAACGTGCTGAAAAGGTAACCTTAAGAAGTAAATATATTGCATCTTATATATATTATGGAAATTAGCAATATGAAAAAATTTATTATGTTTGCACCTCAAACTTATAACTACCTACAGTAAATAAACAAATATTTCTCTTTCCTTTGCTTTGTCTATCTCCCCACTATCTGACGACCATCTCATGCTTTTATTTTGTAGTGGGGTCATGATACATGATACTAACAAATACATTATTGCATCATACCATAACAAAAACTAGTTATTTTTTTCTTAGTTTCTGGTGGTTCCCAACTAATCTGCTGTACGTATAACAAAGCTATCCATTATCGCGTGATTAATTAATTAAGTATTAATTTTTTTAAAAAATGGATAAATATGATTTTTAAAACAACTTTCGTATAGAAGTTTTTTTTAAAAAAACTCACCGTTTAACAGTTTGAAAAGCGTGAGCGTGAAAAAAGACAGAGATTAGTTGGGAAAATAGAGGAATGAACTCAGCCAGGTTGGCCTCATGTTCAGCTTGTTATTTTATTTTTGTTTTTTCTTTGGTTTTACCTTTTCGTATGGTATATTTTACGTACATCCAAATGATCTGATTATTTCAATAACTCTATATTTTTGTTACGAGGCCTCGTAAAATAACCCACATTAAAAACCATAACCATCAATCAATAACCACTGAACCTGACAGGACAGCTATAGTTCCACTAGAGAGGGGATATTGATATGAACCTTACAGGCCACCTAGGTGAGAAGAATATTACTCCCTCCGTTCTAACCTAGGATCATATGTGATATTTCATAGAATAATAAATCTGGATACTCTTTTATCTAAATTCGTTTTACTACGAAATGTCTCATCCGATTTTAGGTTGCTATATTATATGGGAAGTAATTAACAGCGGCCAATAGAAATAGTTTAGGCAAGACGCCACCAAAAAGAAGAGCAACAGAATATTTTTAATTTTTTTTCCTAAATTTTAAAAGCACGTCCTCCACGACCACCACCACCACAAGAACCTTACGGTTCATGCCCGAGTTCCCAAAACTAAAGGACTCCATCTTCTCCGTTGCATCCATCAAGCTCAAAACGACGTAGCTTCCTGGTTGGCAAAGTTGAGAGAAGTGGAGGAAGGTCAGCAGAGAGAAAGGCAGAAGTAAAGCAAAGCTGAAGAAACAAGAAGCAGAGGCATCACACAAGTAAGGTTCTAATCACTTCCCGTTATTTCCTACAATTTAGTAAGGCTAGGGATCTACTGTTAATCTCTGTCTCTTTAAGCTTGTATTAGATATATACCGTACTCGTAGATTTATGATTATCAGTATATTTGTGTAGGTGTGTTTTGCATGTGCATCTTCTGTTTAGTTCGAAAAAGAAAAATAGTAGATTCACAAATAGGAATCACAAAATCACAGTATCGTACTATCAATAATCACACATTTATCAACAGGGATGATTAAAACTGATTCTGGTGAGGAACAAATTAACATACAAGCAAAGTGGACTTCTGTTTGATTTGGCTATAGAGGTGGAAAGAATTGGGGTTGGATGAGATTCAGTATATGGTAGAGGATCCGATATGGTGTTAATGAAGCTAGAAGAAGAAGAAAGCAGTAGTCGATCGAGCGGTCGAATGTGGGGACGACAATTGGTCAGGGAAGAGATGTAAGGCGATGAGCTAGCTGATGATCGTGAGAGAGAGTGGTGAACCGGAAATTATAAGTCTAAATTTTTAAAGCCAAGCCGAATTATAGTCCAAATTTTATTTAGTTCCCACCTGTCATATTCGAGTTGCAGATTGTTTATCACACCTTTGGTGTAACCGTGAAGTTTTGTTGTATGACTCTAATTGCGTAGGCCCAAAGTTATATTATATTCTTTATTGAAAAATACAAAATACAAAGTGGTTATTATTTTACACTTAGGTCAATTAGTAGCCAGTCTGAACGCATGCGCTTGCGCGTCAGTCACAAAAGCAAGGGCGTGCAAGTGCGCGTCCCGGCTTTTAAATGCGGTACGGTTGTATTTTATTTAGAGTGATTCCAGTTTACATAAACAAAGAACTTTAGTTCAACCAATTCATAATTTATGAAATATAGTAGACACAAGCTATGATCACATTGTAATTTGTTTCTTTGGTCCAAACACAACATTCTAATTCTCTCTGGTCATAGTATCGCCTCATGATTATAACTAAATTAAAATTATATGCTTCTTCGTCTAAAATAATAGAACATATATATTATTAAACGAGATATATCCTTATAATATGAATGTGAAGATGGGTGCATATTCGGATTCGTAGTACTCCCTCCATCCTAAAATATAAGGGATTATATTTTGAGATGGATTTAGTACTAGAATATGTCTTGTCCAGAACTAAATTCTTATATTTTAGACCAAGGAAGTAATAAAGAGCACCCCGCGTGCGTGGTTCAAGCATTGGTCACGTACATACTCATGTATGGGTTTAATTAGGTATGAGAACGGATCAGAAATAGACCAAACTAGCGTTATTATGTTTGTTCTCATATATTTTTTCAATCAGAATCGAAAATAATATTAAATACATATAAGGAGCGAATACGAAACAAAATAAATATGGTAACGAATATTTACCAAAATAAAAAAAAAGACCCTCTTAAATTGTGCTTCCGCAACCGTTTGTGACCACCGATTTTTATACTCGGACCCCTAAGAAATACACACGTGAAAATGACTTTCTACTTTCCGGTCCCTTAATTGAACACAAGAATTCTTCTTCCATATACATAGCATACTTACCGACTTACCTAACGAGGTCTTGTTGTCCAGATTGAGGATGTTATTGATTTTATCTCACCACTCCGAAACTTATACTGTTTGCTATGCACTTCAAATAATTTAAAATGAGGACATAAGCTATAAAGTAGTAAATCCCATCGAGCTCTGCAACTTTGATTTGATATAGAGTATGTCTCTTTCGGAAGTCATTGGAATCATCTATATAAGATTTTGTAGAAATAGAATGTGATTTTGTAACGAATATTTAGAGCCCCTAAATGATCTTAGATGATAAAGTTATCAACAACAAAGTTGTAGATCTCGTCAAGCTCTACAATTTTGATATAGAGTTTTTATATTCATCCGACTTTATATACTTGTGTTTTCTAAAAATTCCTCTCTATCTCAAATATTTAGGAAAAACTCTAGATAGTTTCCAATCATTTCCAATATCCGCTGGATATTGATATTACCTTATTCACTTCCATTTAAACTCTCTGTATTTGTTTTTTTTATACTATCTGAAAATTATCTGCCCAACACTATCCATTTTCAAAAATACGTCCAGATATCAGAAACTATCCCAACCAAGCATAATTACCAAGACTTATTTAAGAAATTTGCAACAAGTATATATCATTCTCCAGCATGTATTCGGATTTGTTTTTCTTAAATAATATGTATAGTGGTTTAAATTCATTTTGTCTTCCATGCTGTCCATATAATTAGGTTTGGTTACTGTCTTTTACTTTACCGATCATTTTGTTGGTGGATACCGCATTACTGTGATGTATATATGCGTGATATTATTGGGCATGTATACCGGGTGTGGCTAATGGGCTATCGATCGCGATCGATCCCCATGCGCCTTGTACACACCTCTCCTCCCTTCCTCCTCCCCTTCTTCTCTTACTACTACACTATAAATTTAAAAAATATATATAAAAACAAAGTTGGAAATTTTTTTTTATAGAAATACTATATATAAAAAATATTTGAATTCAAATTTAAATTTGAAACGGGTATGTAAACTTTTGACTTATAAACTTTTGGTCTATAAACTAATATTAGAATTTAAATTCAAAATTGAATCGGATATGTAAAGTTTTGACTTATAAACTTTGGGTCTATAAACTTTAGGTATATAAACTTTAGATGTATAGAAGTACTATACATAAAAAATATTTAAATTCGAATTCAAATTCAAATTTGAATCAGATATAATTCAAATTCAAATTCAAATTTGAATCGGATATGTAAACTTTTGACATAAACTTTAGGTCTATAAACTTTAGATGTATAGAAATACTATATATAAAAAATATTTGAATTCAAATTTAAATTTGAATCGAGTATATAAACTTTTGATTTGTAAATTTTGAGTCTGTAAACTTTAGATGTGTACACTTTAAGTGCATAAATTTACTAAAATAGGAAAGTAATGCGGTGCCAAAAAAGAAACTACGTGGAGGAGAGAGGGGAGACCCGATCGCTCCTGACGATCAATCGTCCATTAGGAGTTTCGATGTATACCTGCCTTGTAATAAAAAGAAACACTATCGTAGAGTGTTAAACATTCTTTCTTTACGAGTGTCCTTACTCAGGGTGTGTTTAGATCCAAAGTTTGCATCCAAACTTCCTACTTTTCCTATCACATCAACCTGTCATACACACATAACTTTTCAGTCACATCATCTCCAATTTCAACCAAAGTCCAAACTTTGGCTTGAACTAAAGACAGCCTCAATTATGAGTTGTAGGTCTTGCTTGTAATTGTTTATTTCGTCTAGCACGCAAAATGTGCCATGAAAAGATGTTTTACTGTACATATTTGCAGTTGCAGGTATTTAATCAGGAGCTCAGACTTATTATTAATGTCGATATCAGCAGATTCGCCATGGCGAGGTGCTGCTGCATCCTTTCGTCAACCTGTGAAAAAAACAGATGAACTCGCAGCTCAGTCCCTTGTAGAAGCAATCTACAATTACAACGCCAGGTACTCATCATATCTATAACACTTATTGGCCTAATAAAATTTAGGTTAATGTAGAAGTTGTACTATATCAAAAAAAATCAACTGCTGAAAATTCGTTGAACAGAACACATATATTACACAATATTGTTTTATATATGGGACACTTCTTCCCCACAGCAAAATTAGCATGACATCTCTTCTCTAATATTATAAAAGTTGAAGATGTTTTTGCCGATACTTTGATACATCATCCGTGTATGAGTACATTTGTAAGTTCGTTCACTTTTGAAAATACATATCCGTATTTAAGTCGGTTTTTATGTTTGTTCATTTTTAGAAATACAAAAGGAGTTGTATAAGAAATCTCTTTAAAAAAACTTGCATGTTAACTTGACACGATTGGACTCCTAATTGCAGCTCATGATTTTCTAAAAAAATATATATCCAAGCGACTTCCCATAGTGAATTTTACTTAAATAAACCGTATAACAAAAATAAGATTAAAATAGCCTTTACCCGTTACAACGGGTGGCCATTTTTTCTAGTAGAACTCTGGCCTTGATTTTGACGAACAGCTTGTTGTTCAACTATGTAAATGATCTTCAATGAGGGTATTGGACAAATAATAGGATGGGTTCCATAAAAAAAAGAAGGATGGAGTTTTTTTTCTTTTTATTTTGGTGCTTATTTTTCTGATACTGTGGAAGACGTACGTAATTGAGCTATTCCTATCAAATTATTAGAACAAAAAATAATTCGTAGCAATATATTGTACTATTATGATGATAATTTTTCTGTGGCAAATAACTATATTTTATTGCAACGATTGTAATTTAGTACTTTCGTTGCAATAGAAAATGAGATATCGCCAAAAAGATCATACTGTGGCAAAAAAACATGTTATATCACCACAATTTTAATTTTTGTGGCAAATTACGTAGTACATGGCTGTGAAGTTAATTACTTTTCATTATTTTTTGTTGCCGCGATCAACAAATTCGTTGCACTAAATAAATATCGTCTCATAATTTAACTTAATTTTTTTCATATGAACATTGATTGAGACAAATTTTATATGGAAATTATAGCTCCCAACGAGATCTACAATTTAATTTTATAGGTGATAAATTTTTCATTTGAAATCTTTTAGATATTCAAATCTATGATTCAAATCTCAGTTGGGTTGGCTCAAATGGAACGATATGCATTTTCCAACAGAATTGATGCGCAGGTGAGTTGGTAAAGGAGAGAGCACGTGAATGATAGGTCTTGGGTTTGAATCCTAGCCAAGATACGGATAGGATGATAGATTAATCTTTGAACTTTTAATTTGGTACGTAGAACTAATGCCACATATGGTGGCAATAATTTTTATTACAACGATGTGAAGTGTTGCAATATGATTTTTTACCACGTCCATTCTGTGGCAACACCAAAATTTATTACCATTAAATAAAAATTGTTGTAATAACCTATTACCACCATATTTATTACAACGGCTAGCAACGATTTTAAAATTGTAGCAATATGTATCTATTGCCACAATTTTAGTATTGATGCCACGATTTTTTTCATGGCAACAAATGGTTTTCTAGTAGTTCGACAAACAATTCACACATACTTTATTATTCCCAGCTGACATCTTGATCGACCTTTCTCAGCTCAATTACATTTGTTCATTCATTTTTTAAAATTTTAAATTTATGCTCTATTTGTGTTTAAATTTGGTCCAACATTGCCAAGCCAGTAATAATGATATTATCGTTTGTCATTTTTGTTTCTGGGGTTCCTGCTCATCTCAGGTGCTCGATTTCTTCAACTCTACCTGCCATTGAGTACAGAAGTTCTGATGGAGAAAAAGATATCACGCGCCATGTGTTCCGATGGGATAGAGCCCCATATGAATTCGTGTTTCAAAATGGATTCGAAGCCAGGCGTGCCTCTCCTGCCTCTCCAGATGAAATGTACTTCAATTTGGAGCATTATGTGACTAGAGGCCTTGGGAGGCCTCTTGACACTCGAAGAGACACAACTCATGCGTATGTTAGCACTACCATAAGCAGTTCCTGGTATCCCAGTGTCAACCCTGGAAGTGTTCTCTTATACCGTTATGAGATATATGCTCCTGGAGGAATATGGATTTCTCAAACATTAGGCGACAGATATAGCTACAGTGCTCAAGATGAGGTCGTTTTTCCTGTCGGAATTGCTCCTCAGTATATTCGATCTGCGCAAATTTTCGAACTCACAAATGACAGGTATATACATTTCAAACCACCTTATGATATTGCAGCCGTAATAATTTATGATATTGCAACATTTAGTGGTTTGATGGTAGTCTTAATAATTTATGAAATTTATTGAGAGCATCTGGAGCTCGTATATGCATGTGCTGTGACTTAATGATTTGATGGTAGAACACAATTTTTGCCTGGTAAATCCTACTGTCAAATTAGACTCATGTGTGGGAAGACCTTTTTTGTTTTGTTTCCCTAAAAAGACTAAGGACCATACTGAATCCCTTATTGGTACTCCAGATCCATAGTAACTATATTTTAGAACGGATGGAGTATTTCATATATATGTATGTATATATATATATATGTGTATATATATGTATATGTATATACATATATATATATATATCATATAAAATATCCCAGTAGACTTCAATTTGCTCTTTCCTTCATTTCAGTTTGACTATGATGCATGCTTGGCTTCTCTCTTGACTTTTTTTTTAAGTGTAAGAAGGTGCGGTCAATCTATTACATACTAAAATTCCATTACACACTCAGAAAACGCTCTCAAGCTGTCACGTAGCATTTCTTAAAATGCTCCTATACTGCCACGTTGCAATTTAAAGAAAAAATTTCAACCATTGATTTTCATCAAAATTAATATATACTAAAAGTCCATTAAACTCCCTTAAAACACTATCAAGATGCCACGTAGTATTTATTCCTTAAAACGCTTATAGATCACCACGTGGAAATTTAACAAAAAAAAATTGATGCCACGTAGTATTCCTTAAAACGCTTATAGATCGCCACGTGGAAATTTAACGAAAAAAATTGAACCATTAATTTTCATTAAAATTAATGGGCCCAACCTTCCTAACCGTTAGAGATTAGATTGATTTTTTTAAAGAAAACACGGCCCGTAGGAGGGGGAAGCAAATGGGCGATCAATCGCTACAGGCGATCGACCCCCATCCCCCTCCTCTACCCCTTTCACTTTCCCTTTTTCTCTTCCTACTACACCATCAATTTTTTTAAAAAAAAAACAGCTAGAAAAATTTATGTATAGAAATACTATATATAAAAAATATTTGAATTTAAATTTAAATTTGAATCGAATATTTGAATTCAAATTTAAATTTGAATCGGGTATATAAACTTTTGACTTATAAACTTTGGGTCTATAAACTTTAGATGTATAGAAAATACTATATATAAAAAAATATTTGAATTCAAATTCAAATTTGAATCGGGTATATAAACTTTTGACTTATAAACTTTGGGTCTATAAACTTTAGATGTATAGAAAATACTATATATAAAAAATATTTGAATTCAAATTCAAATTTGAATCGGATATAAAAACTTTTGACTTATAAACTTTGGGACTCTAAACTTTAGGTGTATAGAAATACTAAATATATAAAAAAAATTGAGTTCAAATTCAAATTTGAATCAGGTATATAAACTTTTGACTTATAAACTTTGGGTCTATAAACTTTAGGTGTATAAACTTTAGATGTGTAAACTTGAGGTGTACAAACTTTAGATGCATAAATTTACTAAAATAGGAAAGTAATGCGGTGCCAAAAAAGAAAACCACGTGGAGGAGGAGGGGTCGATCGCCCTGATCGCTATGGGCGATCGATCGTCCATTAGCTTTTCCGCCATGCGAGAGGATTGTTATGAAATAACAGGGTGATCTCATCCATATAAAAGGATGGATCGCAACCAGAGGCAACCGTGCCTATTCCCTAGGCACTCCTTGGCAACGGATGCAATGGTTCCTAACCATCGCGTCTCCGGTTGCCACCCCTTCCCCATCTACAAATTGTACCGCATTGATCAATAAATTTATCCGCTCATTTTCTTGTGTTCAATTCTCTCTCTCGCTCAATCAATTCTATTCACAATACGTTATCAGCACTTTCGCTCTCGCGAAGGAGATCGCGAAGTGAAAGAAGGAAGAACATCGCTTTTTGATCTACAGGAAAAGCGACAGAAACTTTTTCCGCTCTCAAGAAGAAGTGAAGAACAGAAGATCCTAAGGAAATCGAAGAAGGTATGCTTACCTTGATTCCATCCTCGATGCCGTTCTCGGCCTTCCTCGCCAAGACCGCTCTCATCACCTTCGCCCAACTCCTCTCTTGCTAGATGAGGAGTCGCCACCACCCCCTGTGAAACATCAAGCATTGCTCCCGCTCCCTCCCGCTGGAGATGGAGTCGCCGCTTGCCCCGTTCATCCACGTCTGACCGTCACTCCAGTGAAGCCGCTACTCGCCGTCCCGGCCTTTGCGCCACCTTCCGCACTGTTTCCCCATGGCTCCCAGAGCCACATGCTCCCGAATGGAGGGGGAAAATGGCAGCCGGGTCCGGCCGACCTCCGACTTCAACGAGGAGTGGGAGCCATCGGCCTAACCCGGCCGGCAATCCGCCGGTGGATGGGGGGGGAGACCGTGACGACGTGTGGTTGCAGATGTGGCGGATGGATGTGGTGGAGGCAGGCGGTGAAATGCCGGCGGTGTGACCCTCGGCGGCGGCGGCGGCTCACCCCATAGCGGCGGCATCGGCGGCGCAACAGGGGGAGACAATGGCGGCGAAAAGGGCGGCGGCGGCGGCGGCGGCGCACCCGTGGGGGCCGGTTAGGGGGTTCTAACCCTAACCCCTCACGACGCTCCCCCTGCTCTTTTCCTTTCGGGCGGATGGGCGGCCTATCCCCCGTCTGCCCCCCCCCCCCCACTTTCTGCCGGCCGATCGGGGCAGCCCATTGCTGCACGGTGGTGGGCCGAATCCTTTAAATTTCGGGCCCACCACCCATTTTATCATTTTGTTTAAGTTTTTAATTCTAATTGAGCAGTAATTTTCATCTAAGTCCCTGTGTTTTATTTAATTTAGTACAATCAGTTCATCAGTCATACAAATTACTATGTAATGGTCCTGTAGACCACTGATGTTATATGTTTCTTAACATAGGTGTTTATTTAAATACCCTGCTTCACTAAATTTCGTGTTGTCTTGCCTTTTGCATATTATTTCAAGACACACTCTACTTCCTCGCTTTATTAATTTACAAAATTCTATAAATTTTGTACTTTGATTTAGTAAATTCTCTTAATTATGTAGAGGATTTAATGCTTGTTCGACTACACATTTTGACTCGAAAATTAATCACATGTAGATGGAGACCTATACTTTGGTCATAATCGACCATAACCTAGGCAGCGAGTATCTCGTCCATCATCAAGTGGTCTACATTTTGAGATGATTACCCGATGGAGTCATACAAATTGGCCGCACTGGTCATAACCTAGGCAGCGAGCATCTCGCCCATCTCATAGAGGTCTACATCTCACGATGATTACCCACATGTATTATTTTCCGAGAATATGTTTTGAAAAATGAGATTATTTGAAATTTGGTTGAGCACAAGGTAGTGGAGTCCTAAACATTGGCTGCGGTATATTCACCAAAATATTTTTGCCTGGAGACCATGTTCTAGGCAGCAAGTATAACTTGCCCACTATTAAGAGATCTACTCCACTGTTTAATTACTTGGAGATTATCCACTTTTGTGCCACCTAAATTCGAATTCTAAATCAAATTGTCAGGTCTATTACCTACATCTTTTCGAAACATTACAAAATATGAAGTCTTACATTTCGCATTGAGATTACAACTGCAATATCATGTTTTTTATTAATTTACCTCTGTAAATTAATAATGGTAATCATGATTATAGGGACATGGCAACTATAGAGTTCAATGAACTCGCCCTTGATGGGAGTAACTACCCAATTTGGGCTTCCGATATCAAAGTATTTTTTTCTTCTTGCGGGATTTCAAATACAATTGAGGAACCCAATGATTGGGATCCACCAGTTGAGAACAGAAAGCTATATATTGCCCTTTCCTTCTGAGGCTCTACATCTATAAAGATCTCAAACATGAGTACATGTTGGAGACGAGCCCTCTCAACCTATGGAAAGCTCTAAAAGAGCGTTATGATCAGCGAAAGGAACTCATTTGGCCTGAGGCTAATTATAAGTGGGTTCATTTATGCCTACAGGATTTTAAAACTGTGGCAGAAAACAATTATGCTGTTCATAACATTTGCTCCAAGTTGATGTTTTGCGAAAAGTGCCAACGGAAGCAGAGAAGATAGAGAAAACTCTATCAACTATGTTTCCAGAGGATAAGATATTGAATCAACAGTATCACACTAAAAGGATTCAAGGGAAATTCCTCGAATAACCCTAAGAATCTGACTAGAAAACACAAATGCAACAACAAGGCACAAATCCAATGGTCGACAGAAAGGAAAAGGGAAGGGTAAGGCACCACAACCTAGTGGCAATAGCAACAAGCATTGCAACAAGTGTGGATCTGACTATCATGTCGCTAAAGATTGTTGCATCCCAAAAACATCTTGTTCTCCTGTATCAGAAATCCCTAAAGGAAGAAAAAGTCTGAGGAACTATGATTTGAAGCTCACTTCAATCTTACAAAAGAAAGACCTGACGTTGAAAGTTCTCACCAGGCTCCTATTGAACCAGAGAACACCCTCGTTCTTCTCCCAGAGGATACCGCTGCACTTTCTGCAATGGATGACATGCTCATCGAATACTGCTCAACGGACCCACTTAGAGATTTACTGTAATCTCAGTGCGTCCCACTTAGAGATAAAGCTACTTTAATCTCAGTGTGTTTGAGACATTATATTGATATCCTATAGTTTGTAAAAACAAAATAGGTTGTAATAAGTAGATAAGTACAAACTCCCTCATATTATAAGGTTATAAGACTTGCTAGTCATTAGAGTATGTACTATTAACCTATGTAAACGTCATACTATGTATTTGATGTTTTCATTATTGTATGTATGTATATATTGTGGATAAAGAATTCTTCACTAAACAATTCTTCTTTCATTATAGATGTCTAAGGATATCGCTCCGATTGGAGAGGAATTATGTCTTGTGGACAGTGGTACCACAAACTCTATACTTTGGGAGATCAAATACTTTCAAACTCTCATAAAGAGAGAAGGCAAAGTTTTGACTATCGCTGGGTGCAACACTATGATAGCTGGCTCAAGACGATCAATTATTACACTCCAAATGGGTACACAAATTACAATCGAGGATGCTTTATTGTATCCTGATTCAATCCGTACTCTACTAAGTTATAGAGATATCTGTCAAAATGGGTTTCACAATGAAACCCACATGCATAATCGAGAAGAATTTCTTCTCTTAACCAAACAAAACGGATATGGCAAACGCATTTGCGAGAAAATTCCATCTCTTACATCGGGATTGTACTATACATACATTAAGCCCATTGCACATGTTGCGTACAAAATAATTTTTCAAAATGTTGATGCATTCCATACTTGGCATGATCGACTTGGGCACCCCAGTATCGGGATGATGAGAAAAATTATTGGCAACTCTATTGGTCATCATTTGATCACTGACAAATTTCTCAATTCCTCTGATTTCGTATGCACTGCATGTGCTACTGGGAAACTGGTTTTGAGACCATCTTATCTCAAAATTAGAGCCGAACCACTTAAATTCCTTGAACGCATTCAAGGGGATATATGTAGCCCAATTGTGTCAAGATCTGGACCATTCAGGTACTTTATGGTTTTGATTGACGCATCTACTAGATGGTCTCATGTGTGTCTTCTATCGACACGAAACCATGCCTTTGCCAAACTAATGTCTCAAATTATAAGGCTAAAGGCAAATTACCCTGAACATAGGATTCAATCAATCCGTATGGACAACACTGCCGAATTTACATCTCATGCTTTTGATGATTATTGTATGGCATTGGGAATTCAGGTTCAGCACTCTGTTCCATATGTCCACACACAAAATGGTTTGGCTGAATCATTGATCAAAAGAATTAAGCTGATTGCTCGACCATTATTGATGAATTGCAAATTACCTTCATCGTGTTGGGGTCATGCAGTTCTGCACGCTGCTGACCTTGTCCAGCTACGACCAACTGCATATCATGAAACTTCCCCAATGCAGTTAGTATGTGGAAATCCTCCAAGTATTTCCCATTTGCGTAAGTTCGGTTGTGCTGTATACATACCGATCTCACCACCACAGCATTCCACTATGGGCCCACACAGGAAAGTAGGGATCTATGCGGGATTCAAATCTCCGTCGATCATAAAGTACTTAGAACCCTTAACAGGTGATCTATTTACTACCCGGTTCGCTGACTCTATCTTTGATGAGGAACATTTCCCGGCATTAGGGGGAGACTTCAAATACCAGAAAGAATGCCAGGAAATTGATTGGGATGCCCAGGGTATTCCAGCCTCAGACCCACGTACTACTGAAACTGAACTTCAAGTTCAGAAAATTATATATTTACAAAGACTAGCAAATAACCTGCCAGATGTATTTACTAATTATAAAGGTGTGACTAAATCTTTCATTCCCGCTCAGAATGCGCCAGAAAGAGTTGAGGTACCAAATAAGACCACTCAACTTCCACTCACTAAAAAGAGAGGAAGAAGTATGGCTACTCAGCGAGAAACAATTGCTAATAAGCAAAGAAAGACGGTAAATGCAAACCAACCTTTAGTTGGTACACACCAAATTGATACTATATATCAAGCAGATCGTGATAGTCTGCAACCTAGCTCGGTGGTGCACAATGCCGAGACTAGGAATTCGGAAGAACATAGACACATTGTTTCAGGAGATCACGATAAGTCTATAAGGGTTGATGAAATTGCCATCAACTACTCTGAAACTGGAGAATCTTTTGATAGAAGAGCTACAATTGTCGACACTAATTTTTCTGAACAAATTGCTGATTTCCTCCAAGTTGATCCAGAACCTAGGTCTATAAAAGAGTGCCAAAAGCGCTCTGACTGGAACAAATGGAAGAACACAATTGACGCAGAATTAGCCTCGCTTTACAAAAGAGATGTATTCTCGGCTGTAATGCCTACTCCTCGTGGTATCTTTCATGTGGGATACAAATGGGTTTTCGTCCGGAAACAGAATGAAAACAACGAGGTGGTGAGATATAAAGCAAGGCTTGTAGCACAAGGTTTTACGCAAAAACCTGGCGTTGATTTCGACGAAACTTACTCTCCAGTTATGACTGGTATAACTTTCCGATATTTAATATCATTGAGAATACAAAATCGTCTATTTATGCAGATGATGGATGTAGTGACAGCATATCTTTACGGGTCACTTGATTCTGATATTTACATGAAGGTTCCTGACGGAATCGACATCCCGAATCAGAAGGTAAATCGTAACATGTATTGTGTTAAGTTGCAGAAGTCACTTTATGGCTTAAAACAATCGGGAAGGATGTGGTACAACTGATTAAGTGAATTCCTTTCACTAAAGGGATACACTAAAAATGATGATTGCCCGTCCGTCTTTATCAAAAAGTCCCCCACAGGATTTTGTATTATCTCGGGTATATGTCGATGATCTCAACATCATTGGCAATACACAAGATATTAATGAAGAACATCATCATTTAAAGATGGAATTTGAGATGAAGGATTTGGGTCAAACCAAATTTTGCTTAAGTCTACAACTTGAGCATTTACCTTTTGGAATCCTGGTGCACCAAAATGCATATACCCAGAAAATTTTGGAGAAATTTAATATGGACAAGTCATATCCTTCCAAAACCCCTATGGTGGTTCGATCTCTAGACGTGGAGAAGGATCTATTTAGACCAAAGGAAGATGGTGAGGATGTGCTTGGACCTGATTTTCCATATCTTAGTGCTATTGGCGCACTTATGTATCTTGCAAATAGTACGAGGCCAGATATTTCTTTCTCGGTAAATCTATTGCAAGATACAGCACTGCTCCTACCAAACGCCACTGGACTAGAGTTAAGAATGTCTTTCGATATCTTAATGGCACAAAAGATCTTGGACTTTTCTTTAAAAAGAACCAGGATTCGACTTTAATTGGGTATATTGATGCTGGCTATCTATCTGATCCCCACAATGCTAGATCACAAACATGATTCGTATTTTTACAAGGTGGAACTGCTATTTCATGGAAGTCTTCTAAACAGACTCTGGTAGCCACTTCCACAAATCATTCTGAAATAATTGCATTATATGAGGCATCACGTGAATGTGTATGGCTTCGCAGAATGGTTAACCACATATTAACATCTTGTGGTATTGGTTAATTGGAATCACCAACCATTATCTATGAAGATAATGACGCTTGTGTTGTTCAGATGGAAACTGGTTATATTAAGAGCAATATCACAAAGCATATTGCTCCTAAATTATTTTATCCTCATGAGCTTTAGCAACATGGAGAGATAAACATCTTGCAAACTATGTCATGTGATAATCTTGCTGATTTATTCACAAAATCTGTGCCATACTCCACATTCTTTAAATGTGTCGAAGGAATTGGTATGAGACGACTTAAAAATTTGCAGGATTCAGGGGGAGTATCTTCCTCTGGAAAATAACCTATTTTCGTCATATTATACTCTTTTTCCTTTGTATGAGTTTTAACCTTTAGGTTTTCTCATCCAAAGTTTTTAATGAGGTAATATCAACATAAGCTTATATGTCTTATCACTTGGTTTTTCCCCACTAGGGTTTTTACTAAATGATAACTGTAGACAGTATACTATTTTGTATCATACTATGAGCTTTACTCATAGAGATCTAAGAATAGTCAATAATATATCACGGTTCTCTCCTTATTTTTCCCACTGGGTTTTCGAGGAGTTTTACGTGATGTATTTAATATAATAACTATAATTATTTCTAATATTATCTTTACAGATATCTGGAACAATGAAAGAGCAATGATCAAAGATGGATTCGATCAAGGGGGGTGTTATGAAATAACAGTGTGATCTCATCCATATAAAAGGATGGATCGCAACCGGAGGCAACCGCGCCTCTTCCCTAGGGGTTTAGGGTTCCCAACCATCGCATCTCCGGTTGCCACCCCTTCCCCATCTATAAATTGTACCGCTTTGATCAATAAAGTTATCCGCTCATTTTCTTGTGTTCAATTCTCTCTCGCTCAATCTCTCTCGCTCAATCAATTCTATTCACAATAAGGATCACGTACGAATGCACGCCCACGTACAAACCTCGTTTCAATTTATTTTTTCCCTTTTTTCTTTACCGAAATATTTGTAACAACAAATTTATAATAAAATCCGTTAGGTTAGATTGATATTTTTTAAGAAAAGAATAGAAAGAAGACGCCCCGTGCGAGAGGATCCCGTCATGCACGCGCACATACGAACCTCTCCTCTCCGTTTATTTTTCTCCCATTTCTCTTTACCGAAATATTTATAACAATAAATTTTAAATAATTATAACTCTTAAATTATATATTTTTTAAAATAAATTTTAAATAATCATAACATTTAAGTCTTTTTATCTGTTTGCACCATTGTGTTATTTATGATTAAAATCACAATTAGAATTTAAGACACACGTTCTTTTAAGTTTTATTGAGATGGTCTGCATGTCATTCAAATATATATAAAAATTATAGGAAAAAAGTGACACTATATATTATTTCATCTTATACCACTTCACTATCATTCATAAATAAAATAGATCTACAATGTCAAAAAATGAAGATAAATTTTACACATGTATAATTTTACCTTGTAGAAGATATGGCCTTAAAAAGATGTAGAGAAAAAAATACTAGATGTATTTGGACCATTTGCATGTCATCCAAACAGATATCCATCAAATGTACTGAAAGAAAGTGACAATAAAGATTATGCCATCATATATCACTTTGCGCATATTCCAAGCCAAATAAAACATACAGTATAAAAAATAAAGCGTGTGCCATTGTGTTCTTTATGATCAAATTAACAGTTCAACCCCAGTAGACCAGTTGACCTTCTTTAAATTTTAGAAAAGAACTACTATTTTCGATCATATTCTAACTCTTGGAAATAATCTAAGGCTATCATTCTGTAGGGTTCCGACTTTCAAATAAATCACTTGAGAATCAAACCAACAACTTTTTTTTTGGAAGGAAAGGCAAAAGACTTTTGCCTTATATATTAATAGAGCAGAAGGACAAACCAACACCTTGAAAATGCACTAAGTGAAGTGCAAGCTAGCAACCAACAACATGCATGTGGCCCGAGAAAGATAAAGTTGCCCACCATGCAAAAGCTCCACGACGATTTATTGCTTAGCGACGTCCTTGTGAAGCACCCTATGGCATTGGCAGCAGGAGCAGAACCATCGTTGTACATTGTGGCTAAAGGGTGCTCACCATCAAACCATCGATCACGGAAAAAACAATAGGACTAAAATTACCTTTAATATTAGAAGTTCGAAGAGGACGAAAGGATAGGGGAGATGACATATATAGTACTGGGTTACTATAGGGGTGTGTATTTTGGTAGTTGACAATGGGATCCATAAGCGGAGGTACTGTATTTGGTAGTGGCAGCATGATTTATGTTGTGTGCGTGAGATAGAGAGAGTGAGTGAATGAATGATTGATTGATTGATTTTGATTATAAGCAGAGGGGTGAGTCCTCCCCTGAGAAGGAGGATATGATGTAATTTGGATGATCAAACGACAAAACTATGCAAACCAAAATATGAGTATGTCTATCAAATTCTCGTGATAGTTGATTTGTTTCTATGTTTGGTTAATTAAGGAATACAAACCATACTAAACCAATATATTATAATTCATAAGATAGAAATATACTCTCTTTTGTTAGACTTCACTCAACAAAACATGACTAATTTAATCAACAAAACTAAACTCCAGTCTATGACACTTCAGCAGTTATAAGTCATCTACACATAGTAATTACATTATATAGTTGCAGCATTATTACAAATTAAATTCACTTTCTAAGAAAATAAGTAAGAAGATGAAAAACAGAAAAAAAAATCCCTATATACTATAGCTTGCACGTTGCTAGCCACACAGTTATGTGGACTATTTATTTACTTACATATATATTATATAAATACACCGAAAGTCCATAAAAGGACTTTTAATTAGAGGATGAAAATGAAAAAAATAATAGAGAATTCTTAAAATAAAGGCAACAGCATATAAGTTTTAATTGGTCCTTAATTTCTTAGTCATTGCATCATGTGCTTGCATGAGACTATTTTGATTAACTAGGAAGGTAGCCCGCGCATATGCGCGGGCATCTTCTTTAACTGTGTTAGAAATTTGATTAGGAACTCTATTTAAACATGTTTAATTTTTCAATAATTTGTGTGGTGTTTCTCTAAATGCTAGTAATCATTCGCCGATATATAAATTATATATAAGAAAATATATATATGAAACTATATATCACTTCTACATAATGCATTTCTTTTTTTAATACTTAGCATATCTTATTGTTGCACTTTCTAAACTTCTAAACTATGAGTAACAATTTTTCTTTTGTATACTATATATTTTTTTATGAATTTTAGGATATATTAATTGAAGATATTTTGTATTAAAAATATGGCTAATACGACTACATCATCTAATTAAATGAGCTGAATATGTTGAAATATTGATTTAATTCTACGTATATAGTATTGCAGTATGAAACTATGGTGTAGCGGAAAAGTTTTTCTAAATCATAAAATATATTAGAAAATTTAGACTTTTATCGCTCTCAAGTTGTAGTTTAGGGTTGAATACCTTGAATTGAAATTTTGTTAGATTTTGTTTGCAACATAATTCCGAAAAAGTCAAATTTTCTATTATATTTTATTTAAAATTTTACTTGTTTTCATTTTATCAATACTCCTAAAATATTTGAACATTGCTATTTAGAATGGGTTTCAAATTCAAAAAAAATGTTTAATTTAGAAAAAAAAAGTTCAGTCTTCCATTATTTTTATCATGTTATTTTTTTTCTAGATTTCCATTATTTTTTTGTCTTCCATTATTTTTTTTCATGTCATAACGTGTACCCCGTCTAGGATCTATTTGTTATAGACAATAGATTGGAAACAATTAAGGGATACCTTTATCCCATGCCAAGTTGTATGGCCGTAACCCACTTATATTTCAATACCAAATTGCAAATATCAAAACATTTAAGAGATGCCTTAAACATTTCTTAATATATGAATATTTACATCACCAAATTATTTTTATTGAATTCAAAATTGAATATGTTTTTTTATAATATAATTGTTTTGTGTTGAAAATGTTACTATGTTTTTCATAATCTAATTCAAGTAATTTGACATAAACAAAATTTAAAATAACTTGTAATCTGAAACGGAAGGAGTTGGAAGAAGGTCATTAGATATCTAGCGTGGTATAAATAATGGGTTGACCGTTTATTATAAACATAAGTGGGATATTTTAATTTTTAATGAGAAATTTTAGTATTTTATTTTATTTATTGGAGGCTTCCAGGTGGATGGATGTTGTCCACAATGTATTAAATTATTGATTTAATTGAAAATTACAATAGTTTAGAAATATCATAAATTGAATATAAGATTTAAAAATTTATGATTATTTTAATGTCTAATTTTATGTTGTTTCTATAAGTGCTAGCTTAAGGAGAAAGAGAAGAGAAGCACATGATAGAGGAAAAGCTGTCTAGACTTGTTAGGCGGAGTCCATTTGTGGGTGTTTTTTCTCCCATAAAGATAATTTTGGATTTAGTTGCTATGGAGGTAAAAAGAACAGAGAATTAATGCATGGTAGGAAGAGAGGAACCGGACAAATGGGAGGGAGAGAGTTTTGGAATTTTCTTTTAAAGATAGATCTAACCATATAAGATAGTGGATACATTGATTTAAGTGGAAACTGATGGTTAGATGTTCTGTTTTCATTTGTCACACTTATAGATTCTTTTTAATTTATTAGAGTGTTACGGGGCGATCAACTTAGAAGCGTTTATGGGCATACCATTAGGCCTAGACATTTGTAGTTAGAATGGTTGCATGATCTAATTTTTAGATAACGAAATATGAGCAATATGGATTTTGAATTTTATATTTAATTATAAGTAACACATCAATTGACAAAACTGAGAAGAATAAAATTATAACTTGAGAGTCATGATCATTTAGATGTCTGAATTATTTTATTTATTGATGTATTGAGTGTTAATTAGAAAATAGGATAAGTTAGCTAGAAAATAGGAGAGGAGGGGAGATTTGGAGGTGGAAGGAGTACGTACTGCATTTTTTTTACCTCATGTACGTAAGGTGTTAGAGGTGGGGATACCAGATTTATTTTCTTTGAGATGGAGATCTAATGGATAAAACTAATGGGTCCACCAATTTAAAATAAAATTGACGGTGTGATTATAAAATACTATGTGACGATCAAAGAGTTTATAGGAGGCCATGTGGCGACCTGAGAGCTTTTATAGGAAGGCTTTTAGTATATATATAAGTCCGTTGAACTTCCAACGAACACTCTTAAGCCACCACGTAGCTCTCGTATAAATGCTCGCAGGTCACCACATGTCATATCTCTAAAATTAAAGAAATATTAAAAATTATGAGAAAAAATATCTAACCGTCGATTTTCACTTCAATCAGTAACATGTGATTTTATATCTATTCACACTTTATCCTAAACTCCCGTACGACATAAGCACGTTATGTTTTTTTTTCTCGGATAGAGATCAGCAGCATGAGATTTTTAATAATAGTATTGTTTGCCGAATGTGTAAAGGAAAAGTACTGTTTGCCCAAAAAAAGGCGAAAAAATACTACTACGTATGTACGCCAAAAGAAAAGAAAAAGAACATATGCCACCAGCAAAAAAAAAATAGAATGTATGT